AAATTCATTTTGATTTTTTTCGAATATCCGATATAAAACATTCAAAAGCTAAAATATCATTGGATATCAATTTTTTCGGGTCAGATCTATCCGGATGGTAGACGAATCCTCCAATTAGAATATTTTTGAACTCCTAACCTGGGGGTGGGGGGGATAGTGAAGCATAAAGGCTGGCATGCAATTTGATGGGTAGAGGGGGGACAAAGTGGGCCCACGAAACATCGTACGGTATACAGGAGGCAGTGGTAGTCGTACTATATCTACCAGAATAAACATCCGCGTGTGGCGGTATGCGGTTACCCTCCGCCGTCCACAAACCCATCTTTCCGATCATTATCAACCGGAATTGAATTACTTCTCCCTCTATCATTTCATTTCCCGACCAGTTTTTTTTTTCTTTTAATATTTCTGTTAATATATGCCTCTAATATCATTATTACCATTCTCAATTTCTCATCCTAGCCTCTATATTAGCACAAGAAATAAAATAGGAGTAATTGTAAGTAAACTCTAATTAATTTTGACTCAAGTTGACGTCACTTTATTTTACACACAATCTGGCACTGTTTTGTGAGTTTTAAAAAAATATTGAAAAGTAAAAAATGTATAGATATACCAATAATTGGTTAGGAGAAAGAGTTTTTCTTTCGTGTACTTTGGGTGCGTATAAATTTTGTGGACATTCTCACATAATTTTTTTTATTTTTTTATTTAAAAAATAAGTGATTATTTAAATAGATAAAAAATACTTATTTTGCTAATATGTAAGTTCATGGTAAACCTTAGGTCCACCAAAGAATTTACCTATGAGAAAAAACAATTGTAAATTGTTTTTTGAAGAATAATTGAATTTGGTACGAAAAAATGAAAAGAAGATTATTCATTTAGATACAAAAGGGGTAATTGAGTTTACTTAAGATACGCGGAGCAGTACAATTTTACTACAATATATCATATTTTTATACAGTAATATTTATGCATGTATGTATACTTATATTCCCAAAAAAACAATTACGTATACTTATAGCTAGTTATTTTAATTTCAGATTTCGACGGAAGTTATTTTCAATTCAATTAAATAAAAAATAAAATGTACATATTTAAAAATTATTTCAAAATATCTACAAAATAAATGTAGACAAGATTATTTTATTTATCAAATACTCAATGAAAATAAGTAATGAAAAAACAGATGATGGTCGAACGCCATCTCGAACACCACGAGAAGTGTTGTAGCCGCGACCAGAGGGTGGTTGATGGTGTCCTAGAATGCCTGTATAGACAAACATAATGTGCGCCCCTCCAGTGGAAGAATCAGCTAAGCTCAGCTTTGCTTATCTCAAGATTAATTTCTTCTGAAAATAAGCTCCCAGAAAGCTAATTAAGAGTGATGTTTCTGTTTTGCAGACGAATGTTTTGCTTAAAAGAATAATAGTTGGCAGGTAGACCACGAATAACAACATTAACAACATAAAATTAGGGATGGTTTCACATGAGGCATCTAGATTAACAAGGATTGTGGCAACTTCATCAAGATACTGACTCATAGATTTGATACCTTTCCAGAGAGCATGTAACTTGTCGTGGAGTTGATAAATATGGGCAAGAGACAGATTTGTACCTTGTTGCTAACGCCTTCCACAAGGCAGCAGATGTTTTGATGCCTGGATCATGTTTATGAACGGCAGTGTTGATGATGGCAAGAAGACATGCTCAGATCTGACTATCATTGTGAAATTTGCACTGAATAGGACTAAAACATAAATCATTTTTCAATCATTTTCCAATGTATGACTGAAGTTATTTTCCAATCACTTTATATAAAAAAATGATGTAAAATTATAAAATAAGAATTACATATTAAAAAACTTTATCAAAAGATCTACAAAACTAGAAGTGGCATGCATGACTATATTACTTTATCAAATGAGAGACGAAAATAGGCCAACAAAACAAATAAAGTTTAACTATGTGAATAACGAACTTGAAATTTATTTATAGACAAGGAGTATATAAAACCTGACTCGTTGTCATCCGTGAATGTAGTGATGATTCCAAGACTCCGGCCATCATTGTGAAATGGCAATTCATGCATATACATATTGAAAGTGATGCAATTAATTAAGGAGGAGCCGATCGAGGTATAGTCACACAAATTCAAACTGAAATTTTGATCGATCAATCGATGTCAGTTTTAGGCAGGCTGTAGGCTATATATATAGGCAGGCAGGCCAAAGATCAGAAATGGTCAAATTCCAGGAATGTTGAAAAAGGAAAGAATGAGGAGTTCCAAGGAGGATTTCCACCCTTTGAGATTTATTTGCATTTTTCACTAAACGAGTAACTCTATAGTGAGACGACTATTTATGTTTTTTGCATCTTTGTCCTTAATTATTACTTCTAAGATCATCTCCAACCACAATTGCTAAACATGGCTTGCTAAAGTCATTTTTTAGCATGTAGATAGTGGTATAGCAAGTCATTTTGCATTGTCATCTCCAACCATCCCTTGCTATAATTTAGCTAACAATTATATTATATTGTTTTTCCTATTATAATACACTCTTTATAATAATTATTCAATTATTATTTTATATTATAAAAATTTAGTAATAAGTATGTAATTTAAAAATAATAATTTCAAAAAACAATGCGGAGTATTATTTTACATACTTTAGGGAAAGTAATAAAATATACGGAGTATTATTTTAAATATTTAATAAATACCAATTAAAGAGTAGAGAAAAAAAATTACAAAAACAAAAAATTAGAGAGTAGAAGTAATTTTATATTTTGAGAAGGAGAATGAGAGAAAAGAAGAGAGAAATAATATGTTTAATCAATTTCATGGTTTGCTATTTTTTGAGAGGCTTGTTATATATAACAAGCCAAAGTTAAAATTTACCAAGTATGCTATACTATAGCAAGCCCCTTGGAGCACAAAAATTGAAATGGATTGCCAAATAATAACATTTAACAAGCCAAAACTCAATGGTTGGAGATGCTCTAAGCTCTATCCCTCCATTTTAATTTTTTAATAATTGTTGTAAGTTTTTGATCTATATTTTTTTAACGCTTCAGATCAATCAAATGCTCAATGTTAGAGACTTAAACTATATCTAATTTAAGAAATTTGAAAGGAAGAAAAAATAATTTTCTCTATTTTTTCTTATCAAAATGGAGGAATTCGGTTTTCCCTCCTTATAGTAATTTTATTTTCTTATTTTATTCTCCTTTCACTTTTCTTAGTCACTCAAACTAAACATGAAAACTTATTTCCCCTCTCATTTTCTTTTATTTTCCCTTTCAAATTCCTTGAACAAAACATAGTGTTAGAGTATACTTTAGTCCGCTACTATATTGGAAGAATCTCTCTTCATGTGAGGATCTCTATGTATATAGAGACTACCATGTACTCTCCTTACTCCTTGAGTAATACAATTATTTTTTCCATTATTCAACATGGTATCGGAGAGAGTGCAAAATGTTTTTTTCTCCTTTTGGGCCGTTCTTGTTTCTTTCACGCTTTCTATGTTCTCGATCTCTAGAAAAATACAAACAAATGGAACTTTCCGGTTCTTCAATTACGCACGTGATTTTTTTGAAAGAGAGATAGATAATGATTCCTTTTTAAGAGGAAAAGAGAGATAATGGACGGTGGCTGTTAGGCACACTCGTCGAGATCGAACGGTGAAGCCATGCTGCTGTTGTGAGTTACATTTTTATCTTTTGAACGAAATGAGAAAATTGTATTGTTTTTTAGAACGTGTGAAGTTTTCTTTTCTTTTTCTTTTTTTGAAAATTGAAATTAAATCATTGCAAATTAGAGCAAAGAAAAAGAAGCTGGGATATGAAATTTAAATCCCACTATAAAATATATATAGTTCCATGTAAAAGGGTGAAGGGTCCGTGGAGGTACCCACTTTTTTACCGTTAAAAACTTAAAACAATTATCTTCCATGGCATTTCAAACTAGATGACACTATATCATACTTCCTATATTCATACCAATGTCAAAATATACTTCATTTTTTTCTAGTCTAAAATTCAATTATTAACAAAATGCGGAGTAAAATAAAAGTTAAGCGCACCAATATTCCATGAATCCTTAGTTAAAGAGTCTATTGTGTAGTTGTATTTTTTGACATAACACATTTTTATACATTAATTTTTAATCAAATGATTATAACTACATTATATGGAGTACTCCATAATAAAAAAAATTTAAGAGACCAGCAAGAAATTAGTTAATTACTACAAGAAAATGCAAAAACAATGACGGAAAATGGCGACGGAATGCTTTCCGTCGTTAAGTATAGGCGGGAAGTAGTGCGCGCTGCTTTTAACGACGGACTTAGCGACGGATAATAAGCGTCGTTAGATTGGCGACGGAAAGAAACGGTCGCTGAGTTTACTTTATTTTTAACGATGTCGTTTTAGGTAGCAATGAAATAATACCGTCGCTACATTCCGTCGCGGAAAACCAGATCTTAAATCGGTCTCCTTCCCTTTCACCAGACAGAAAGATCGAAGAGCAGAGGATAAGTCGTCCAAGTCGCCTTTCGCCGCTGCTCGTAGCCCTCTTCTCCGCTGGTTGCCGTCCCCTTCCCTTCTGTTCACCGTCTCTCCATCTTCAAATCTCAGGTTTTTTTCCTTTTTTATTTTACATTTAAAGTTGTAAACAAATTAGACTATAGATTATCTTTTTACATTCGAATTAAAAATTATTATTGTTTGATGATATAATCAAAAAGTATATTATTATGTGTAAACTTTTGACATTTTCTTTTAAATTTGAAATTATTGAAATTAGCTGTTTGTGATGTAAAACCACGTGGCTGGGTTGAAACCACATCTGATACACAAAAGCTCAAGAGTACTGACGATTTTGCGTACCAAGAAGACGCAAGAGTGGCAGTCGAAATTGTTGAAGTTGAACCGCACGATGAAGCTCCACTACTTGCAGAAGTTCCACAGTTAATTGATCTCGATGATAGTGAGGACGAAGAAAGTGATGATGTTGAGATATTAATTACTACTGATGAGAGCTCTAGCGAAAATGTGTTCATGTCCGATGATGAATTATCATAAAATAGACTTTAATACAAAAGGTGGTTGAACAAATATATTGTTGTATTCATATTATTAACTGTTTTACTAATTAATTACTCTTCTTTGCAGATGGCTGGTGGAGATAAGGGTAAGGGTCACGTAGAGCAAACAAAGTCCAATACTGGGAAGTGGAAAGAACTTTCTAGGTTGCGACATGCCATCCTTGGTGGTGGTAGATCAAGTGGCACATCGGTCAGCGCATCTGCGAGTGCATCAGGCAGCGCATTAGCCAGTGCCTCAGCCAGCGCATCAGCCAGCGCCTCAGGCAGCGCATCAGCGAGGGCATCAGGTACTGCCACTGTCAGAGTGCCTATTGGGCCTCACTGCACCAATGTCACTAGCACCTCTTCCGGAGGGTTTACACGTTCCACTGATGAGTCCAGGATGCACGATGATGAGAGCATGGACTCAGACGAGTCGATAGAGCACGAGCATGACGATGCTATGAACCTTGGACCGAGCGTAGTATACTTTGATCGCTCTGGCAGGTGATTCTACATATATATCTTATTATTTGCATGTATACACGATTATAATATATATTATAATGTTGTAATTATAATATCATGTAGTGTCGTCTTCACGGAAGAGGGAGCTCGGATCATTTGTTCCACATTCCAGCAGAGGCTCGATCCAACAGGGGGTAGTTGGAAGAGCCTAAGCGACGCGACTGTGGACTTTTACTGGAGAGAGTTTCAGGTAAAATTTGGTTAGATACGAATATCAAATGTATGCTTTCTATATTTTGTATTTTATTTAAGATATTTTCTAACATGTCCGGTCTAACTTCTTTTTTTAAATTTAGAAACATGCCACTTGGGACCCTCGCATTGATGATAGCGTTATGTTCCGTGCTTGGCAATCGAAGGCTAGAAGACGATACACCGACTGGCTCTCATCTATTAGGAATGAGAAGAAAGGA